CCAAATAGCTAAAGCAATTTTAAGCCAAAAACCAAAGCTGAGGCATCATAATACCATATTTCAAGACATACTACATAGAGTTATAATCAAAAGAGCCTGGTAATGCTACAAAAAATAGACATGTAGACCAATGGAACAGAATAGAAATTGCAGAAATTAATCCATGCATCTATAACCAATTTATCTTTGACATAGGAGCTAAAAATCATTCTCTAGGTAAAGGATAGTCTCTTTAGCAAATGGTGCAGAGAAAATTGATCTACTTGTGCAGATGTATAAAATAAGACCCCTCCTTTATACCTTATACACAAATCAACTCAAAATGGATCAGTTATCTAAATCTACCACCTGATACCATCAAATTACTAGAAGAAGACATTGGGAAAACTCTGCAAGATGTAGGCATAGGCAAAGATTTCTTAGCAAAGACACCAGAAGCACAGGCAATAAAAAAAAAAAATAGACAAACGGGATTATATTAAGCTAGGAAGCTTTTGCACTGCAAAGGAGATACTAAACAAAGTGAAGAGGAAATTGACAAAATGGGAGTTAATATTTCTAAAGTATACAACAAATAATGGATTAATATCTAGAATCTATAAAGAGCCCAAGAAACCTAATAAGAACTAAACAAACAATCTGGTTAAATAATAGGTAAAGACATGAACAAGTATTTTTCAAAAGAGGAAATTCACATGGCCAACAGACACATGAAAAAATGCTCAGGATCACTAACCATCAGGGAAATGCAAATAAAAATCACAGTGAGGTTTCATCTATCTACAGTTAGAATGGCTATCATCCAAGAATCAAAAAGCAATAAATGCCGGCGAGGATGTAGGGAAAAAGGTACCTAATCCACTGTCAGTGGGAATATAAACTAGCACAACCATTATGGAAGACAGTATGGAGAGTCCTCAGAATTCTGAAAATCTGCCTATGACCCAGGCATCCCACTCATGAGAATTTATCCAGATGAATTGAAATCAGCATATGAAAAAGTTATCTGTGCCCCCATGTTTATTGCAGCTTAATTCACAACAGCTAAGAATCAACCAAGATACCCATCAACTGATTACTGGATAAAGAAAATGTAGTATATATATACTGTGTGATATTACAGAATAAAATCCCATCTTTTGAAACAAAATGGCTGCAGCTGGAAACTATTATGCTTAATGAAATAACCTTGTCCCCCAAAGCCAAACATCATGTTTTCCCTGATATGTGGGAATTAATATATGAAGTACAAAAGTGTATGAGTAAATTTGACATTTTGAGATTTGATTATTATTTACAAGCCTTGCCTATACTCTTGAGGAATAGTGGTTTTTGCTACTTACTGTTTGTTGAATTCTTCATTTGGTGGAGGGTTAAGCTTGTGATTATAAAATAAATTGAAAGTATGTCATTGTAAACATCAAAAGAAAAAATAAGGAAGGAGGAGGGGTTGGGAATGTGGGTGCTAGGGAGGAGAGTGGGAAGTACCATTAAGCTCTTACATCTGTATATATGAGATACATGAAATTTGTTCCCCTTATATAATTAAAAAATTAAAGAAGAGTCTGTCTGAGGAGAGTGAGCAGTGGGTCTGGTGGCCAAGGATCTACTCTCTTTAATACTTTAGAAATTTTTGAATACAATGTTTCATTGTTAGAATAATCATATGGCATATACAGGGTATAATATCTTAGATAAGAATTTGCAATAATTTGTTCCACTTTTTGTTTGCGTCCATTTTCATGGGGATGTGAACATGGTCCTGGGTTTAAATTAATGGCTGTATTTAAATTAGTATTGCTATCCATGAATTAGTTGAATACAGTAATTTGCTTATTGATTCTCTCATATAGTAGTTGTATTTGGAAGTAAGAGGGTAGTCAAACACTTCAATTCTTCTACATCCTACCATGTCACAGTTGGGGTAAATAATGATTTTTATTTATTATTTGCCCATCTGTTAGTGCCTGTTTGTGGATGGGTACTTTGGTACTTGTAAAATGTTTCATAGCATTCTCAAAGAGCTTGCGGGTACTTGGAAGGATTCAGGAATACTCTAGCAACTGAAATCATATTGATGACAGCTGGAACATGGTATATACATCCATATCAAGTTGGCAAACTCATCACATTCTTCTGGCAAACTGATCACATTCTTTATAGTTCAGCCTTCACTAGATTTCTTCATAAGGAATCTGTAAAGAGAATAAAGAATAGAAAGAGACTTTATTTTGAATGAATAAAAAAAGTAATTATTTTTATCATTTTCAAGACATTCATTCATCTGGAAAGGTGGTGTTTCCTAAGCCAGGAAATTCAAGTGAAAATTGAACTCTGTACAGTAAAGGACCATCTCTTAATTCATATAATAGATTGCTAGACATTTCTTGTTATTGGTCTTATACTTAAAGGTAGAGTACATGGAGTGATTTCAAGGCTCATGTTTCATTATTGAATAATCTAGTCTCAGGTCTCTGCCAGAGAATATGTTCATAGATTAAAAAAGTAGTTGAGAAGTATTAAATAAGTTTTCTATATATCTTATTTCTAAAATCAAACTCTGAAATTATAAGTAGAGTGCAAGACAAGGATTATGTAGAAATTTCTCCTTTGAGAAGTACCCTCCACCCCAGTCTTGTCACTTTGTGCCTAGAGTAGTGTAGCAAACACCCCTTTAGAGTGTCTTAAGGAATGGCAGCTCCTTGCTAGTGGCCTGAGGGAAGCAGTGGAGGATTGCCCAAGTGTTTGGGCCCCTGCTACCCATGCAGAAAATCAGGGTGAAGCACTGGCTATTGCTAGGGAGTAACCAGTGGATTGAAGATCTTTCTCTCTGTCTCTCTCTACTTTTCTGTGATTCTGACTTCCAAATAAATAAATAATCTTTAAAAATGCTAATAAACAGGTTTTAAGGGAAATGAGATAAATATTTTTGATCACTGTTGATTATATGGAAGAATGTACAGTTGTGTAATCAATACTCAAACTAATGATTTTGTTATTTAAGGGTTAACTTCAACATTCTTGTCTCCATTGGACACTGTTGTCTTCTACTTGGAAAAAGCTAAAGTCTCATCTCGGTTTTCAAAGGTCCATACACTTTTGGTCCTATAATCATCTTGTGACTTTCATTAAAATCAGCATACAAATTTGAGTATATAGTATGATGTACTTTGAAGAAGTATAGGTTTGACCAGAGTCATTTGTCCTTCTAGAAAGAATTTTAGTGGAAAACCATGATTTGGAATCTCTTGGATCCTCATATAGAATGGTCATGTCAGTCTGTTAATATTTGTGAAGCATGTATCAGCTATCTAGCTACTGGCAACATCATATTATTTCATGGATTTTCATTTAAACATTGTAGGGTGGGTGTTTATTGTAGTGTTCAAGACTTGGGTTAGGATGCCTGTGTCCCATATTGCAGTATCCAGGTATGATCCCTGGCTCTGCCTCCTGATTTCAGCTTCCTGCTAAAGTGGACCCTTGGATCCAGTGGTGATGGCTCAAGTAATTGGGCCCTTACCATCTCTATGGGAGACCTCGATTGAGTTCCTTGCTCCTTGACTTTGGCCCATGAGTTGTTGTGGCATGTGGAAAATGAATCAATGGAAGTTTTCTCTCTGTCTCTCTCTCCCTCCCATTTCCTCTCTCTCTGCCTCTGCCTCTCACATTAAACAAAATTAAAGATTTTCTCAGTATCTAATTTAGAAACCATGATTTAAGCCATTGTTGCTCTAAAATATGGATCCCAATTTAGTGAGTCACCTTTAATTTATATAACATTTTTTTACTGCAGACATATTTTACTTAATTTACCATAATACACTAAGAGATAAACCTAATAATATGTCTGATATTGTAGAAAAGTAATGTTGACTAAGTATCAAATGCTAGTGAAGCAATACAGAAATTTAATGGATATAATCAAGAAGTATTTCAAATTTTTTAAAGTTTTTTTCTTTTTGAATTTTCTTAAATACAAGTAGTAGGCTCATATGTTCACTTCTTGGTTTAAATTCTTCATTAAAGTTATCAGTCACAATTGATGGTATACCTCTATGCTTGTTTCAGAGTTCCTGAAAGAATGCTCCTCTGAAAAAATTCATTGACAGACTCTAAACACAAAAAGACAGACTTTAAAAGTTAAAGATAGTTCAAAGAAAGACAAAATAAATGCATCTTAAAATGTCTACCTAATTGTTCATTCATATCTATTAATATATTCTTTATCAAAGCTTATGAATATTCTGTGACACCTTATACATCAGTCAAAAAGACATTTAATTCTTTGCTTTTTGAGAAGGTAAAATTATTCTTGGAAACTTTCCCAGAGAATTTTTTTTTAAAGAACTGTTCACATTTCCTTTTGTGTTTGCTTCAGGTGGGGAGGGGTGGGAGAGGAGAAATAGAGATCAAGTGTTGGATGTCTCAGCTTCTCCTTGTTATAGATAAGGTTTGGGAGACTCTATTGCACTTCGTGCTATCAATGACCTGGAGGCATTTCTCTGTCTAGTTATCATCCCATAACAGCTCCTTTCTTGCCAGGTCATTAAGATCCTCTGCAAGCCCCTGTGACAAGGTCTGCCTCTCAGGAGCTCAAGATTAATACTTTAGGGAGAGTTTGGAAATTCCTTGTTATCAAATTGATCTATGAGAGTTTTTCTTTATCTACTGGTGTCAGGAGTGCAGGGTGCTGAAGAGCATGTGGAGCTAACATAAACACATGCCTGGATACACACTTAAAATCCATTCACTTTAGTCTTTTCTTTCTATCTTATTTACTTCAAAGGGCTAATTATCTCCTTAGGAGATTAGTTTCTATTGAAGAAAAATAAAATTCAGCTCAATGTTAGACTAGCAATGATACTGTAGTTTGGAGTAATATTTCAATTTGATTTGGTAGAGCTGGTGTTACCCCTAAGGTGATTTTTCTGCTAGATCTCGGGAAATCTCCTTAATTGACTGGAGTTGTCTTTAAATCAAATGTTTTCCTTTCCCAGCCTCACCTTTGGGAGAGAGCCCTAATAGGTAAGTGTGTTCTTTGATGGAGCTGCTTCACCTCTCTGGGCTTTGGCTACTCGCTGTGTAGGAGAGAAATTTGGATTCAGTGATTGCAAAGGTGATTCCTGCTGCCTAGGAAGATGCTGTGCAAACACTGCATTTGCATTAATCATAATATACACCGTAAGTATTACTCTGCCATTCATTATTTGAATATTCCACAGGAAATACCAATACCTGATCATCCTTATACTTAAGTCCATACTGGAAAACTTCAGACACTTTATGGAAAAGTGGAATTAGGAGTTTATTCTGATGCAAAAAGTTTGAAAATCCCTGTTTAGTTGTTCCATAATACTCATTTTCTATGAACTTTTTTATTTTAAAGATTTTATTTATTTATTTATTTGAGAGGGAAAGACAGAGAGAAAGGTCTTCCTTCCGTTGGTTCACTCCCCAGTTGGCTGCAATGGCCGGAGCTGTGCTGATCCCAAACCAGGAGCCAGGTGCTTCTTTCTGGTCTCCCACGCGGTGCAGGGCCCAAGCACTTGGTCCATCTTCTACTGCTTTCCCAGGACACAGCAGGGAGCTGGATTGGAAGAGGGGCAGCCAGGACTAGAACCAGCACCCATATGGGATGCCAGCACCACAGGCGGAGGATTAACCTACTGCACCATGGTGCTGGCCACTCATTTTCCATGAACTTTTAAAATAGCCCTCATGTGTAATATTGTAACATGTTAAAATAGGTTAAGTATGACCTCTGAGATGGATTTGTTGGTAAAGGTGATATGGTTTTCTTAACTGTGCCTTGGGATTCTTCTTGGGATACTTCTACTTAACATATTGATAGTCGTCCTCACATTACTTTTGGTACTGTCCTGGCTAAAACAGATTGGTTGGTAGAAAGTAGGATCTAGGTGACTTAGCCAAGGTCTTGGTGGCTTCCACACTGAACTATGAGTAGATTAGGTTAAGTGATGGGAGTGGGGAGTTTGTTACATGAACTAAAATGCAAAGGATATCAGAGTGGGTCGGGGGAGAAGGAGATTTTTAAAACTATGGCACTAAAAGAGAACAGATATATTCTGTGCACTGGAGAGAAGATTATGTTGAAATGATATAGGAAATAGAATGAATAATAGACTATCATTGGTAGTCAATATTTGGGGCTGCTGTCACCAATGAGTTAATGGCAAATCTTCAAATAGAAGATAATTATTCCAATAGCATTTGTAGATCTCTTTTATTGTGTTAATTAAATTGGTGGAAGCAAAATGGGGCCCAGTAGATCTGTAACAAGGGTAGTTATTCTATGCTAATGACAATAGACAGAAATCTGGTGTAGGCAGGGTGAAGGGTAGATTAGTCACCTCTGCAGATAGCTGAACTCCTTTAAGCCCCTAGGTGCCGTTCAGTGCATACAATTTTTGCACTAATTAACACCCTTGGGTCTAAGTATTAATGCAGGCCAAAAGGGGAATGGTTTGCTCCCCAGGCATTAAGATCATAAACCCTATTATTATTGTTTATAGTAAAATATTGTTCTTACCCTACGCCTTTGATCCAAGCTCAAAGGCTTTTATTATGACATTTTCCCCTTTACAAACAGTCTCATTAACCCTAGCATCATCGCTGGGGTTAAGTGGCTGAAATACTGTATCATTATCTCCATTTTCCAAAGAAAGGACTGGATCAGGGAGACAGCAATTTGCCCACGCCACCTGAGTCAGAAGGGGGAGTTGAGACGCCTGGCTTTCCTTCTTGGGATAAAACGATCTTAGCTGATGAAAAAATGTCAGAAACTGACTCCAGACATCAGCGAAGGACCTTTGATTCCTGTTCAGCTCCTTCTAACCTGCAGGTTAATTCGTTCATGCATTAGAAGAGTCATGGCAAGGTTCATCTTTTCCCAAAATGAAATTTCTCGGCCGGTGCCATGGCTCAATAGGCTAATCCTCCGCCTTGCGGCGCCAGCACACTGGGTTCTAGTCCCGGTTGGGGTGCTGGATTCTGTCCCGGTTGCCCCTCTTCCAAGCCAGCTCTCTGCTGTGGCCCGGGAGTGCAGTGGAGGATGGCCCAAGTGCTTGGGCCCTGCACCAGCATGGGAGACCAGGAAAAGCACCTGGCTCCTGGCTTCGGATCAGTGCCATGCGCCGGCTGCAGCGCGCCGGCCGCGGCGGCCATTGGAAGGTGAACCAACGGCAAAAGGAAGACCTTTCTCTCTGTCTCTCTCTCTCTCTCTCTCACTGTCCACTCTGCCTGTCAAAAAAATTTTTTTTCTCTTCTCCTTAACATGACTGAAGAAGGACACTGGTCCAGTAGTACCAGCATTTTTATTTTTTATTTTATTTTATTTTTTAACAGGCAGAGTGGACAGTGAGAGAGAGAGAGACAGACAGAAAGGTCTTCCTTTTCCGTTGGTTCACCGCGCAATGGCCGCTGCGGCCGGTGCACTGTGGCCGGCGCACCGCGCTGATTCGAAGCCAGGAGTCAGGTGCTTCTCCTGGTCTCCCATGGGGTGCGGGGCCCCAGCACTTGGGCCATCCTCCACTGCACTCCCAGGCCACAGCAGAGAGCTGGACTGAAGAGGAACAACCGGGACAGAATCTGGCGCCCCGACTGGGACTAGAAACGGTGTGCCGGCGCCGCAGGCGGAGGATTAGCCTATTGAGCCGTGGCACTGGCCCCAGCATTTTTATTTTAAAAGATGTTGCAAGCGCAACCTCCTATGGCATTTTTAAAGCTTTTTTTTTTTTTTTTTTTTTTAAATCTGGCAGTACCTTCTGGAAGAAAATCCACTTGTGAAAGAGCCATAACAAGGACTCTGTTCTTTAAGAATGAAGGATCTTCAAGGTGTCCATGGACAATGTGTATTATGAAAAAAACTGATAGATTTGAAATTTTTTGTATCCTAATTTACTTTTTAATTCTATGTTTGCAGAACACATATTTAATAAGACAAGGATGTATTTCAGCAGTGAGCACAACTGAGATATCAGAGATCATTGACTGCATACACATGCATACTTAGAATCCCATTGAGTAGGCAAATGTCCTCTAAACCATGTCATTTGTGTCTTATTCTCTCTGGATCTTCAAGTTTTGCTCTCCCATTTCCAAACAAAGTCCTATATCCTGAAAAATTGTGGCATTTGTCAGAGTGTTGATCTATTTGTGGGGAGCAACTGGGAGCAACTCGGACTAGACTAAGTTACTGGAATTAAGACTTATTCTATGCATCTGCTCTCCCACAATATGGCGCTGAGAAGGGAGTAACAACTTCTACGCAGCTGTCTCTCGCCAATTTGATTGACTGAGCTGCAGGAGCTGATCTTGCTCCTGATTGGAGGAGAGCAGCATACTCGTCGTGTGGGTAGCAGAGTTGGGATTGGTGGAAGAGGACTATAACGGAGGAGAGAGACAATATGCACCAGGAACATCTAAGGGGAACACCTGTGCAGCCCCCAAGAGAGCTGGCCGGTGGTGTGCAGCTCCCCTGCGGAAGTGGGGAAAATGGCCAGGGGGAACCACCCTTCCACGGAGGTGGAAGGGACAGTAGCCAACCCGGGAAGAACCAGCAGCAAACCTGGGGAGGGCCGAGCAGACAAAAGAACAGCGCAGGGTCCTGTGTCATTCCTCCACGAAGAGGGGGAGCGACATCTATTGTTTTTTTTTTTTTTTTCAAAATATTTAACATTATTCTTTTCATGTTCAAACAGATTTAAGGAATTTTCAGAGTAGAAGCTTGTTGTTTCAAATATGGGCATTTTTTGGTCAATATAACTAACTTTATCAAGATCACTCAGAACAAATTATATATAAAATTCAGCTTCATTCTGTATGGTCCCTGAGCCCCATCACTTGACTCTTTTTAAAAAAAAAATGTTTATGTAAGATAAACAAATATCATGTAATTCATATGTATAGATTTAGAATGTAGTAATTAATATTTCCCAGCCTACCCTCCTTCCTGCCCACATTCTTACGCTTCATCCTTCTTCCTCTCTTAATTTTTACAATGATCTACTTTAAGTTTATTTCATACTCATAAGTAAATAGTCAACAAATAGTAAGAAGAAAAAGACACTGTTCCTCAACAGTAGAGACAAGGGCTGTAAACAGTCATAGAACCTCAAAATGTCCATTTCACTCCTATATATTACATTTTTGGTACTCTGTTAGCACATATTAGGGAAAACATATGGTATCTTTTTTTTTTTTTGGACTGGCTTATTTCACTTAGTGTAATAGTTTCCAGTTGCATTCATTTTGTTGCAAAATACAGGATTTCATTCTTTTTTTTATTGCTGGGTAGTATTCCATTTCTCTCTCTCTCTTTCTTTATACACACACACACACACACACACACATACACATATACCATGGTTTCTTTATCCAGTCATCAGGTGATAGACGATAGACATCTGGATTGATTTCATATCTTCACTATTGTGAATTGAGCTGCAATAAGCATGGTGGTACAGATAACTCTTTCATATGCTGATTTCCTTTCCCCTGGGTAAATTCTCAGGAGTGCGATTGCTGGGTCATAGGTATATATCTATTTTCAGCTTTCTGAGGTATCTCCATACTGTCTTCCACAATAGCTGTTCTAGTTTACATTCTACCAACAGTGGATTAGGGTATCTTTTTCCCCCACATCTTCGCCAGCATTTATGGTTTCTTGATTTCTGTATGAGAGCCACTCTAACAGGGTTTAGGTGGAATCTCATTGTGGTTTTGATTTGCATTTCCCTGATGGCTAGTGATCCTGAGCATATTTTCATGTGTCTGTTGGCCATTTGAATTTCCTCTTTTGAAAAATTCCTGTTAACATCCTTTGTCTATTTCTTAATTGAATTGTTTGTTTGTTGTTGTTGAGTTTCTTGAGCTGTTCATAGAGTTTGGATATTAGTGCTTTATCAGTTTCATAGTTTGCAAAAATTTTCTTCATTGGAAGGGTATACGTTCCATGACAAATTGGTCCTTAGTAGACCCCCAGAGGAGATAAGATTCACTGAAATAGTTTAGATTTCTTATAGAAGCATTTGCAACTTCAGGAAATAGGGACTCATTTATCATAGCTGGTATAACCAAGTGTGATAGAAGAACCATATTTTAGATATAAAAAAAAACAAAAGAGGAATGCATTTATTTCTATATGTTTTGCCATCACTCAGTGACCACTGGATATTTGTTAAAATCTGTAATATAATCAGAGAGATTAAGAGCATAAACTTTGAAATAAAAGCCTTGTGTAACCATCTCTATTAATTTCATTTTGTCTCAGTTTTCTCTTCTGTAAAATGTGAGTAATAATTCTACTTACCACATAGCAATACATGAGAAAATGCATTTAAATTTCTTCATATTGCTTCTGACACATATGGCAAGAGGTTATTTGATATTAGGTATTATTAACCATGGCACTCTTGACTTACATAAAATAATTAAAGTTTAAAGGCAAATTGAATGATGCTTGAATGTGGGACACAAGTTCCAAAGTTTTACCCAATTCCTTTGCCAACTTTGAAGGAACCAGAAAGGTTATAACAAACTGGAATCCTTGTTTCTTCAGTTCATTTCCAGTCATTGTAAAATTTGACAATGTTCTGCTCATAAAATATTCAATTACATCTCAGACAATTATTTGAGCTTTTTTATTCCCAAGTTCTTGGTCCACCCTTTGTAATCAGAGAATAATTTCAGTTCTTAGTTCTTTTTGGAAGTAAACCACAGATATTTGCCTATTTGGTTAAACTGCCTGATGATTCACGTTTTTGTTGTTGTTGTTGTTGTTGTTATTGTTTTTCCTCTACACAATTCAAAGGAGGGGGCTGTTCAGAAGAGAATCTATTGCAGAGACTCTATGCTTTGCCTAAACATTAGAATCGCCTGAGAATGATTCTTCAAAGTCCCAGTGCCGAGGCTGCACTCCAAACAACTCAACAGAATTTCTGAGTATAGAAACAGGCTTCACTTTGAAAGCTTTCTGGGCATCCCATGTGAAACCTACTCCACTGTTGGCCTTACTTTAGAAAGCATCAGAAATATGCGGACTTTGGTGATGACATTGACTCACTCTCAGAGATTCCACATTCAGTAGATCTAGATTAAATAATGGAGATTTTAATTTTTAGCAAGATTATTCCTAATGTCTTCCTATCCCTGCCACTGATTATTCTGACCAGTGGTTTTAGGGCCATATGAGAGTACTTCAAAAGCCCATGGAAAATGGAATTAAAAGATGTTTATTTTGTTATAAAATTTTTGAAATCATGCATACTTTTTGCATAATACACATTTTCCTTGAACTTTTTACAAAACTTTACCCACGATACACATTATTCCTTCTCTTCCCATTAACCAAGTAAGAAACTTCATTGTGCTTTCAGGATGTGTGGTCAGTTTTAAATGAGCACTCCACAGTTCAGAGTTGTCTTCTTGGATACCACTTGGAAGCAGCCATAATTCACCAAACTGAACAAGGAGCTTCTGCAGGCCTCGGGGGAAGTGCCTGCGAATTATCTCCAGAGAACTAGCCTTTTGGCAAATCCGGATTTATCCCTGGGGTTTAGCCCCTTGTTTAACTGATTTCAGTAAACTTTAATCTTTCACCATCATTAGGTTTTCAGTCTACTGAGATTTCTTTAACTTTACCACAGTGGTTTCACTACAGGAAAGCATCATGTGGTGCTGTTACATTTAATGTCAGGCTTCCTGTTTGCTTTGTAATAAAATACAACTAAAATTTGCACATGTTTAATTTTTCTCAAGTCCCCTTTTGGCTTCTTGGGGTTGACATTCCTTGGAGACACACCATGCATTTCCCTCTTGTGAAATCTGAGCCATAAGCACACTCCACATTTAACCCCTACAGTCAGACTCTCGTATAAATTGTTCTTGGGAAAGGTCAGAGGGGTATGATTTTTAAAATCTTTTTGTCATTGAGTTTCAAGCCAAGTATGTCCAAAAGTTAAACGTTCCCTAAAATTGTTTGAGCCTTTCAGCTTTTAGG